ATGGCACAATGGAGTGAATAGTCATGTTCCACCATAATAACAGCCATAAAATTGACAGCTTTTGTTGGCCAATAGGAAAAGAGATGATGAAGAAGATAACATAAGCAATTTGAGTGGCTATCGGGACTGCGGATCGCTCATGTGCAAGGGGGGATCGTACACTCATCTTCCTTCACGTCCAGTTTTATGTGAATTCTGTTTCATCTACCATTCTACCTGACAAGTAACAAGCTTCATAATTTCACCCAAATTCCACTAACTTGTATCTATCTAAAAGGCAAAAATGTATTCTTCCGCGTGAAAGCTTAATTTCTTACTTCAATTAACACTCTTTAATTATCCACATAAATTATGACATTTTAACATCACATTCAGTCAACTATTAATCAAGGTCTATACTTTCACAAATTTATAAAAAAAAATCCAACCTAACATGATAATTGATTTTTTATGAATTCATCAGAAACCTTAATCAATGACAGAATTCACATAAACCAATTATTAATCATATGGTTTGTGAGATATGTTTACGAGATTCTATTTTCATGATTAATTAATATCGTATTAATAAATAGTAAACTTTCTTTTCCATTCTATCGCACTGACGTACAAATAGGTGAAGTCAAACTTAGCGGTAACGTTGATAGTCTTTTGTGTATAAATGCACTCCAAATGAGTGTTTGTATGGGAGAGGAGATCGGGAGGATGAAGAACGAAGGCTAAGGAATCATAGTGGGAAAGTATAGCAGAGTCTCATGCGCGAAAGCGCTTGCTTGTGCAGTTGGGTGTTGTTGTGATTGAGAAATCGCGAGCACCCACAACGGCAAGTCCAACTGGTGCTGACTTGGACTTGATACGTTGTCTCAGAAAATAATTCAGTCATGGCTCCCCATCCTGAGCCCTTCTACAAAGTTACCTTACCTCTCCCAATTGATCAGTTATTTTTATTCCTACTTTTTCTATTTTGAATTAACCCTTAAAAAGTGTTAATGCATGGGTAAGTTCTTATGTACACTTGTTTTTTAATTATTTTTACAGAACCGAGCAACAGATGGGGAGAAAAGGTGAATTGGGTACTACAAGAGATGAAAACTTGAACTTTAGGGTTGCACATTGGCTGATCTTCATGCTCTTCTATAATACTTTGCCGCGTGAAATATTTCTTTGGGGTCACCAATACATCTCTTTCTGTATTTCTGAAGAAAACCAGTGTTAAAGTAAGGCCAGACCTTCAAACGAATGAGATCATCGAAGTAGAGGGATATTTGCTGGTTGCAGCAGACGGGCCCGCTCATCAATTCGACAGAGTTTTCTACCTGACACCAATAAGGTTTCCAGATTTTGTATGATTTTTTATGTTTAAGAGGCGTCGTTTATGGGTTTCTTTTTTCTTTTTTAGTTTTATGTTTATGTACTTTGACAGGTATTCAGGATACTGTGCATGGAGCGTTCTTGAGTATTCAGGAAAGATTTTGGATACCATGATGGGCTTCCGGAAAGCGTATCCTGATCTTGGAAGTGCTATACATGGAATTGGCTCCTGGAACTCATCTCACTCTTTGTGAGCTTATGTACGGAGGCTCAATTGGATTTGGTATATCAATCAACCTGAGCCCCAATTGAAGGTGATTCCCCTTATTTAACGCTAAACCTATCCGTGTAATCTTGGTCAATCTCAATCTTAATAAACTGCTAAAAGTAGCCGGCTACTTAGACAACAGACTTATGATGTTAGCTGCACAACAACCACGTACAATTGAAGTGTTTTTAGTGACCATTACTTTTAACCCAACCACGTACAAAATCTTATTTCTAAGCTCTGTATCCAATTACGTTAAATTATAAGTTATTAATTGATGTGTCCTATGATGTCACAACCACCAATTCAGGGAAGTTCAGTTACTCTTAAATTAAACAGCGACATGATAAGCGCAATGCACCAGGAGGCTGAGAAGATTTGGATTCCTGAGTTTGCAAGAGTGATAAAAGAAACAAAAGACCCTTTCATTAATGTTATTTATGATTGTGATCCTTTGAAACAAATGGTTTGGGACAGAGTGGTGTTAATCGGAGACGCTGCTCATCCCACAACTCCACACTGTGGAAGAAGCACAAACATGTCAATATTAGACGCAGCAGTATTAGGCAAATGCATGGAGAAATGGGAGCCAGTCAATTTTCAAATGGCCCTTGAAGAATATCAATCTATAAGGCTACCTATCACTTCAATGCAAGTCCTACATTCCCGGAAAGTGGGTCGAATCAAACAAGGCTTAACTCTCGCTGGTAGGGAGCCTTTTGATCCGATGACTGCAACTCCAGCGCGATGTGAAGACCTTCAACAGAAGAATGTGCCTTTCTTTGCCGATGTTCCTGAATCACTTAATCATCTGTTTGATTAGGAATAAGTAATTTCTGTGATCAATCCTTCCACTCATGCTCAACTTAGTTTTGTTGTTCATAATGAATAAAAAATATTTCACTTTCATCTTCCATTCTTGCTCAAAGTTGATGTGATTGAGGAAAAATAATTTTACACGTATATCTAGAGAAATTTTGAATTTGGGTTCTTATTTGGAATCGTAGTATTCTCAGAAATTCTATAATACCACCATGATATCACAAGACGATGTATGCATACTAAATATTTCACTAGGGTCTTACGGATGATGTGTACCCTTGTGTTCTAGACTCTTTGGATTCTAGATACTTTAAACATACATTTATGGGTCTGTTTTTTTAAATAGTTTTAACTATCCTATTCAGACTATTTCTAAAATACCAGTTTGTTTTCTATTATGAAAATACTATTATATTTTCTTTAACTATTTTTAAACCCCTTAAGTTTATTAATTTAACTAAACACCCTTAGAAAAAAGTTTAGAAATTGACAAAAACACCCCCATCCACCCACATTTACCAAATTTCGGCCACCACCGTTAGAAGGTGGCCAAAATCTGGTATAATAGTGCACTATCGGTTGGATCTGGCCTGTAGTGTGCCGATCTATCATTTTTTGGCCAAATCCATGGCTAAAGATGGCTAAGATGTGGTCGTCGTTGACAACCAAACACGGTTAGATCTGGCCTTTTTTGGCTAGATCCATGGTGGATCTGGCTGGAAAATGCCATCTCAGTACACAACCGGCCAGATTCAGGCGGTCGTAAGCCAATACGGTGACTCTGACCACTTTTCGGCGATGGTGACCGACTGTCAGAATTTAATGGGTGGGTGGGGGTGTTTTTATAATTTTAATGTTTTTTATCACAGGGGTGTTTAGTTATTTAACAAGCTTAGGAGGTGTTCTTATTAATTTTTAAATCCTTCCTCATTATTTCACCCAACTCTAAAAAATCCAAAATACTAAAACAAACACCCCGGCTGCGTTTGTTTCACTTTTGGGAATACTACTTTTAGTATTCCCAAAAAAGTTAAACAGTAAAATACCCAAAAATTCAGATTTTTGGGAATACTACTCCCAAAATTATTCAACTTTTTTTAAACCCCTTAAATTTGATAATTTAATTAAATACCCCTAAATATTTTTTTTTAAATTACAAAAACACCCCAATAATCCACATTTAACAGATTCCGGCCACCACCACCGGAAAATGGCCGGAATCTGGTAGAATGGCGCACTACCGGCTGAATCTGGCCGGCAGTGCGCCGATCTAGCCTTTTCCGGCCAGATCCACGGTGGATCTGGCCGNCACAAATGAATGAATAATGAAAATTTGTTAGGGGTGTATTTGTAAACTTATAAGGTGTTTTTGTTATTTTTTAAACTAATAGGGGGATAATTGATTTTTTACAGGGTACCCTGGAAAGGAACCGGAACCTGCATTTTAGGTTCTGGTTCCTTGAATTGAAGAACCTGTACTGTACGGTTCCGGTTCCTTTTTTTGGGAACCTGTACTGTACGGTTCGAGTTTCGGTTTCCTGAAAAAATATAAGATACCCGGAACCGCTCACCCCTAGCTCAAACGGCTAGTTAAAGGAAGTAGCCGTTGGAAACGGCATGATTTGAGCCTTTTTGCTCTGAATAAATACATTATGTCAGTTGTTGATTCCAGACACGTGGGATCTCATGTTGTAATTGACTAGGGACTAGTTGATAGTGGCGCCTCCACTACGCAGTTTTTCAGTCATCAAAGAAGGATATATTAATATAATTATTATATTAGGATTTTTTATTAGAAGAAATATTGTTGCCTAGATTGTATCGACTTGTATATTTGAAGAGAGCTTTATTTATGTCATTTTGCTTGGTAGGGGCCTGAGGTTTAGGTTGAAAGACGATGATATTAAATTCCACAAACCTTCCAAAACCATAAAATATTTATGTCTTGACTGAAACGTAAAATCCATTGGATTACTATATTCTTCTAACACCATTGTATTTGTCTCTCTACACTGCATCGTCATCCTTAAGGACAATGGCATATATAGTTACATCACAAGCATGTAATTCTAGAATTCTTTTGGAAGCTACACTCTGTGTTTATTATATGAGAACATGGAAGAAAAGGAATCATGGGTTTGCATTCAATATACCTGAACACATGAGGTCTCCACTTACCCAGAAATACAAAATGAAGAAGACACAGCACACAAAAGATGTGTTTTCCCTTTTGCACTGATGTCAGATGAGAGGGCCAAGGTCTCTAAAATTAAGGTTAGAAAAAACTACTCGAGATCAGATATAAATGGCCTATTGTCAAACGAAACATATAAATCAAATGTTTGATGAGGCTCAACTTTGTCTAAGTTATGAGAAGTTTGTTTTGGTTTATACATAAACGCTGAACAAGTTTTGAAGTCAAATCATATGTTGTTGCAGCGCAGGAGATAATTAATGGTGGTCAAAAGAGGTGCGTGGTAAGTCGGTTACCGTTGATCCTGTTGGGTTGTGATTGGATTTGGATAAATTTTGCGAATAAATATTTAGGCCAATGCCGATGCGGCTCCAACAGAAAGCATTACTTGCTTGCAATTGAAGCTATACTCTAAAATACATTTGAGACGTGTTGACTAAATTGTGCAACCCTCCGTTGAGTGTTGACCATAAATACAAATACATGTTTTCAGAACATTTTAATACCTCCGTTGGGGGTCATTGATTACTTAAATGAAATGGATGTCGTCAACAATCAAAGTTGAAAGACAATTTATTTAGATCGGGTTTTTGGACGAGTCCCAAATGCCCAGCTCTACTAATCATTCAAAACTTAAACCTTTGTTAACATCTAGTAAAACTAATAACCTCAATCTCATGACTCAATGCGTGCCAAGTCTATCCTGTTCTAACTTTTATGTACCCTTAATCCAGCACTACACTAGAATTGTACAACCATGTCCGAATCTTTACTAGTTTCTTCTCTGCTTGAATGGCTTTCCATCATCAAGTTGTCAGCTTCAACCGACTGATGGCTTCCTTCTCAGGGAATGATTTCCAGGAAAATCAATCAACTTTCCCCAAAGCTATGATGAACTGTGATTCTGTGAAAACGGTGAGTCATTAGCTCCATGAAAGCTTCCTCTTCATCCTATCCATTGCAAAGATTTAAATAGGAAATAAGTAAATAAATAAAACAAAGGGGGAGAGAAGAGAGAGACAAAAGTCTTGGGATTTCATTCATGATAATGCATAATGTGAAAATATAGGAAATGACATAAAAAATAGGAATGTAAACTTGAAATATCAGTTTGAGAGATATAACATTACTTGTTAAAATGTAATACAGGTCAGTCAATTGAGTCTTACCAAATACCCCTGAAAATGAGGCAAGAAACAAGGCCTAATCATCCTAGCTGCCCAGACTATAAGAACCCATGTATCCTTTCCAAACAAAATACACCAGCAC